ACCCTACCCCTGCATTGTTACACTTTCAGATAAACATCATTTACTATTTTTAATATTTTTCCCCCTCATGGGGACTGCAGGCCGTTTCTTATATATATATATATATATATATATATATATATATACGCCAAGGCAACATTTCATTTAGTACGAAGTGCTAAAATAAAATAAAACTAAATCTAGATAAAAATTGATAAAAACTATATAGACGTTTTTAAAAAATATATTAATAATAATAAAAATGGCTATAGAATTATTAAAATGTAAACTAGAATCAAAGGGAAAAAATGAAACAAAAATATAATAGAATTTAAAATATAAAAAAAAAACATTATAATATCTCAGTGAACTGAAATAGCATCTACCGATCTAAAATGAAACTGGTTAAAAACAGTATGCTTTATTTTCAGTTATTTTAAAAGCATTAAAATAACATGCAAAAAACTGTTATATGCTAGTTGTAATATGCCCACAATTTTTTTAAGAAGTTTTAGCTAATTTTAGTTTTAGTTCAGTTTAGATTATTTCTATAGTGCTTTAAACAATAGAAATCATTTCAAAGCAGCTTCACAGTAATAAACAGTAAAATAACATAATAAATCATGCAAACTTGACTTTTTTAGTTTATTCTGGTGAAGAACTTCCCACATAGATAAGAACCAGCGTCCTGCTGTCCGACCGACATGTAAAGCGATCAGTCAGTCACATATATTCTCCATGATGACTAGAAGTGGGTAAATATTATTGATACCACATTAACAGACCAGCGTAGAACAAAAGAGTCAATAAAAACAAAGTACAGAACTGTTTATCTGAGTCCGGCTGAAGATAAAATGCCACAGAAACGAGTAGAAATGGTTTGTGACATTGTGATCTGAATCCTGCCCATCTAAAAGTAATTCTTTCACAGACATAACTCACAAAACAGCAGAATATACAGTTCTGCTCATGAATATACTTCAAATGCTACTGAATGCCTTAAACAAAACTTTTGCTACCAGGTCAGCTTTTGATGCCACTAACCTGGTAAACCTTTGCAAAATAAATAGTTTTTCCTCAGACATGATAATTGGATGACTGGAAGACTGATTTCCAAATAATATAAATATAAATGTGAACATTTTTCAAAAATCGTGCGGCAGCCATCAACAACTGCGTCTCACTTCGATGGAGGAGTTGAACAAATTCTAGTTTGATCATAAAATGTGACATGAATGGGCAATTGATGAAGCAGAGCAGTGAATATTGACTGAAGGTGTTGAATTACCGTCTCTGCGGTTGAGTTTGGCGAAGCCCGGCCCGTGACTGCTGGACAGCTCTGATGAACTTGTGAAGGCCGACTGAGGCAGAGCGGAAACCAGCGGAGAATCACAGCTCTCTACAGACACACAGAAACACACATCAGAAACATACTGACGCACAGAGATACTCTTCAAACCACTGGAGTCAATTAATACTTTTATTAAGCTAGAACGCATTCAATTAATCTAAAGCGACAGTAAAGACATTCCTGTTTCAAATAAATGCTGTTCTTTTGATCTTTCTATTCATCAAAGAATTCTGAAAAATAAAATGTATCACAGTTTCCACAAACATATTCAGCAGCACAACTGTTTTCAACATTGATAATAATCAGAAATGTTTCTTGAATGTGTTTATTTTTCGTTAGTTTAAAATATGAATATTTATGTAATATTTCATTTTATTAATATCTTGTTTTTATTTTTTATTGTGTGTACACACACACACACACACACACTACCAGTCAGCAAATCAGCATATCTGAAGGATCATGTGACACTGAAGACTGGAGTAATTATGCTGAAAATTCAGCATTACATCACAGTAATAAATTATATTTTACAACAAATTCACACAAAAAACAGCTATTTTAAATTGTAATAATATTACACAATTTTACTGTTTTGTTCTGTATTTTTGATAAATGCAGCTTTGGAGAGCATTTTGGAGGTGTATGTTTCTGAATGTCTTTGACATGAACGCACTTAAAAACATCTTTATATTTTTACTAGCACACTGCATACAGTGCAGTACAGTTGTACCCTTAAGCACATTAGCTTTTCACATTCCAGCTGCATCAGCAGTAAATGTAGTTATATAAAATGTATAATACAATAAATGTATAATACAATAAATGATGATATCCAAGTACATCTGATGCAAAGAAAGACTTCTTTTTAAAAACATTTTTAAAAATGTTCTGGCGCTAAGAACACCAAAAAACAGGGACAGAAAAAGGGAAGTAAATTAAAACAATAATAATAATAATAATAAACTAAAAATAAATAAGTAAATAGAGATGCAAGTGTAAACACTGTTTCAAAAGGTAAATTATTTTTATTTGTATTCTGTATAATTGAATCTTAAAATAACATGCTTAAAATTCATCATGAAACAACCCATATTACTTCCATAATATGACATTTCTGAATAAAACAGGTTATTAAACAAGAAAAAGTAGGGCAGAACATGATTTGGAAAAGACATGGATAGTGAAAACTGTCTGAATGAAATAAAATAAAAATGAATTGTTGACGTCAGCTGCAAAAGAAAGAGAGATCTGAACAAAAGGCTAGGAAGACAAATGTGACCCTGGAGCACAAAAGCAGTCTGAAGTCGCTGGGGTATATTTGTAGCAATAGCCAACAATACATTGTATGGGTCAAAATTATTGATTATTAAATAAAAAAACAAATAAAAACAAGATTAATAAAATAAAATAGTACATAAATATTAATATTTAAAACTAAATTATATAAATTATAATGATATGAATAACAATAGTAGTAGAAGCAACATAAAATAATACTAATATGAAATTATAAATCTTAAACAAATAAAAATTAAAAAATTAAATGAATACAATAATACATAAATATTTAAAACAAAAAACCTTAAAAAAGTAAAATAATAACAATAGTAAAAAAAATATTTAAAATAAAAATATTAAAAAAACAAAAAAATATAATACATTACTTAATTCAAAACCAATAAAACAAAAATTAAGCTCTATATAGTGTGAGAGTCCAATGTATAAAGCACGGAAACTATGACCAGACGCCTGAACTCTAACTGCTGCAATCATCTTCTCTCTAATACATCATTCTGAAGTCATATTTCAGAAAAACAGTGCCTCATTTTCATATCAGAGTGCTGTATGGTGAAAGCTCTGGGCCCTGTGACAGTTTGGCAGTTGTGATTTTGTCATTTTTTCTAAATCGTGTCCTTCTGGCTCTGTTCTTTTCCTTGTTTTCAGCGAAGAAAACAGAATTGGAGACGGTTTCAGCCGCTGATCAATACAAAGGCCCCAGCCGCCCGTCCCGCGGCCGCTGATTGTGGAGAGGATCCTGTCGCAGTATGGAGGCTTTCGGTTCAGTCACGCTCAAATCAAAGCGTGAGGAGAGCCAGTAATGGACGACTAGCTGACTTCAAACTAGGGGTCGACCGATATGTGTTTTTCAAGGCCGATGCCGATACCGATTATTACAGATCAAGTAGACCGATAACCGATATTTTGAACCGATATATATGTCTGG